AGGTGAATCGATTTTGATGATTCTATTTTTATTTGAAAGCTGGTGATTATAATTTATACATCCCATATAAATTTGATCAAGATATGACTAGTAATTTTGGAGTTATCCTTAATAATGCGTATTAATATTGAAGTCGGTGTAAGGTAAATAATAATTTCATTAGTTGTCTCTCTTCCTTTCTTTTTAAAAAACGTTACCTCCCCACTAGGAAATTCTCCTATATCGCAGGGACAGTTTACATATGTAGAACAGAACCAGAACAATTATTTGTAGACCATACAAGTACTTGTTCTAGAATATAATAGAATCATTTTTATTCAATATAGATTATAGTACATAATACTTATTGAAAGTCATTTTTTACTTTTATCACTGGTTCGTAAAAAAAGCCTCTGTCCGGGACTTTAAAAAAAAACACAATTTACAATATAATATTTGTAAATTATTATGAAAACATTTAGAAACAGCATATTAGTGATCACCTCATTCCCAGGGGGTTATTATCAATCATGTGCTCTTTAGTAGTATAATAACCCTTACTAAGCAATTTTTGTTTAATAAATATTTTAAACCTTTTATTAGATAAGGTCTGCATGTTTTCTGGGACTTTGTTGTAAAAGCGTCTAAGTTGCCCCATGAAGAAATAACTGACCCTTTGGAGTCGAATAACTAGTATAACTAACTTGTGATTGTTCCTAGTATTTACAGGATGCACATCACTATTTTTAATAAATTTATTTTTGTTTTTGTGTACATACAATAAGTTCTCGTAAATATATTGAGAGGCCAAAGTTAACATATTTATTTCTTTAAATTTTCCTCTAAGGGATTCCTTCGGACCTAGGTTATAAATTGCTTTTATGGCTCTCTTTTGCAAAACAAAGATAGTTTCAATGTCAGTTGCATTACCCCAATAGCAACATTTCATATGACATTATGCTATGGATATAACTAAAATAAACTAATCTAGCTGTTTCAACACATGTAAGGCATCGAATCTTTTGTACAACATATGCTGCAGAAATAAGTTTGCTAGCTACTTTGGATATATGAGGGCCCCATTGAAGTTTCGCGTCAACTGTAATACCGAGAAAAACAGTGTACACCGCTATGTATACGCTATGTATACTAAGTATACGCGCGCTCTGGGACGGCGCCTGTGTAAACGCGCATACGCGTCTTCCGAAACCAGGCCATGCTACAGCTGGACCTGGCTGTCCGTTCCGATTAGCAAAGCACACTCTCGCACACACGCTTGCGCACATGTAATCACATCACACGTACTACTGTTACACAAAAGAAAACATTGAAAGATTCTGTAGCAACTTTTTTTCAAAAAAATGCAGCACTACTCTCGAGACACCATTCGCCTTTCCAGGGCACCATATACTGGGCTGTGGCTACACGACAAACTCTGGTACGGTCCGATCCTCATGTAAACTTTAATACTCTCTTTAATGTGACAAATAATTTGCTCTACTTCAATTTCGTCCGTTATACTTTGGTTTTCCAGAATTATTCGCAACCAATTAAAGAGTTAACCTCAAGAAAAATTTACTTTCCTCATGTATGAAATGGTGATCGGTAGCAGCGGCAATTAACGTGTCCGCGGCGACATAAGCCGACAGCTTACTTCCACTCAAGAGAGAGCGCTACAGCACCACGCCTTCCACTAAACTCTCAACATCAAATCCCAATTTTGTCGACTACGTAATACTCCGAGTAAACTGTAACACTTATCAACAACATTAGAACACAGAAATACTACTTGTGTTTTTAATTCATAGCACGTTAACCATCGATACATCGTTAAAACATTTTCAACTTTAAAATTAGCCCATGTAAATCACACCTTGTGTATCAAATTATAACATAACTCGAGCAAGTTAAATATCCACTGAATGCAAACTATAACACATTTAGAATACCTCCAACATTTCTTTCGACATTTGTTATCTTATTTGGGTACGCTTAGAAATAATGAAAGTAAGTACTTGCGGGTAAACATAAAGCGAGGCGCGTCATAATCTTTCACCAACATAATAACTCTCACACTATTCGAAGGTGGACAGTAACAAGGACTTTATCCCACTTCTGATGTCAGAGATTACACCAGAGGATTCCAATTTTGATCTCGGAAATACATCAGGATAGCGTTAATTGTTAAAAATAGTAAAAGTGTGAGAGCGGATGTTCAACTTGCTCTCTTGCTTACGCAGTTTAATCATTATCAGTAATAAGACAACGTAACGCACTATACATTCAGTATAGTGAAATTACAGATCGACCACACCGTAACACGTCTCCGCCACAATCACACACCAGTGTATCGTGAGGTACGTAATTACATGATAACACCAAAATATGTAAACCAACAGCAACCCTACTTATCTCAATGTAACACAGGGTAGCCACTCAGCAACACCAGTTCTCCTTGCCTGCACTAGAAGAATTACAACAACGAACAGAACCACGACACTATCTTAGCACCACTAGTAGAGTGACCACACTCGTTGAATGACTGAAGCGGAATCCCTCGCGCACGTCACCTACAGTGAACTTTATACTGCACAAACAAGTGGGAGTTTCTCGATATACCCTCATGTCCACCTCGATCCAAGTTATATTTTATAGACGCTCCGCCAAGTATATGCCGATCTTGCATTAGGAGGCAGTCACTAGTATTGGGAGGTCTATTAACACTGAACGTTATTTTAAGGTCATTGGCATTGTACGCGAAAAAATCGAAAACTGCGAAGCTGTGGTCGGGTCGCTACTCAAATCTACTCAAATAATAAATCTGTAACTATGGCGTCAGTAACTAGGTAGCTAATTATCTAGATCTTCCTCTAATTAATAATATCGTTCCTTTCGGTATCCTTAGAAACAGTAAAGAATGAAAAGTCGATATTACTATTGTGATTTAAGCGTCGGCATGCTGTGCGTAGTACCTTTTGGCTTTTTGAGAGGCCATACTTGAATAAAAACTCAAAAATGATTATCATAAGTGGCTAAATACTTATAAGAGAAAAATACTTTTTTGTTAACGTAAGGCGCGCGTCAGCTCGAGTGCGCGCGTGACAATCTCACGGAATTAGCCGCTTGTAGGGGACCACGCAGCGTAGGTATATTTTCATGCCTTGTATATTACATGTATAGCGTAGGTATATTTCAGCGCGGAGAGAGACAGGCCTGTTTATGGTTAACTTTATTAAATCTTTTCTTTATATTTCTCCATTGGTTTTCAATTCTCTGGGGTGTGTCCCGTCGGGGCCAACAAGCGGATCGTCAAGGTCACTATTTATCACTATTTATATAGGGATTTACAGTCTTATGTATATACCCATCTTCATTGAGACAGCTATATGCCTTCCAACAATCCGTGTGTATAGTTGTCCCCGCCTCATATGCTCTTTTATTTTCTGTATGAGGGTCTCTGAATCTCTTCCTTAATAGCTATCATCTTGAATCATACCAAGAACCCAGTGCCCTTCTATTTGTCGTCCTTTATTAAATTTTCTTTTTCCAAATTTAATTTCGTCAATTTGCACTCTGCAGCCTGGGCCTCCGATTGGTTCAGCGTATTTATTTTCTGTGAAGTCAATGATTACTACTTCTCCACAGTAATTAGACCAATCTGAAATCGTCACCTAAGATACAGCTACTTCTCTGTCTTCGGTACAGCATTCGTGAAAAGTTTGCTTGTATGTCATGTCAACAGCAAAGCAATACATCAATAGAAATATTATTCGTAGCGGGATTTTTGCAAATTCAAACCAAGTGTTTTGAGCTCTTGACTTTTCCAGTCTTTTTTTCTTAAAACATTCAAATGTCCATTCTTTACAACACCCATTGAAGTGCAATGTACACCACAATTTTTGGTAATTTGTATTAGTCGAACTCGCTCGGAAAACTCCACACACTGGTCCTCTGTACCCAAAACCTTGAGTAATTTTTCAAAGTTCCACTGACTTCGCAGCTCATCAGAGTAAAGGTGCTTCCTCTTAAAGGGAACAGAATCCGAAGGTCCTGGCGTAGCAAGCACTTCTCTTGTCGTCGACAACCCGTCGCTGGTAGCGCTTCCTGGACTGGCTCAGCAGGGTCCTCCTAGATACATAAGGAGCTTGCGGCTCAACAGAGTCCAAAACACGCGTCACTTCACTTACACTACTATTTGCTCGCAACTCAGCAGGGTCCTCCAAGCTAATAGAAAAGGAAGGAGCATGCGACTCAACAGAGCTCAAAACACGCGTCACTTAACTTACACTACTTGTTGCTCGCAACTCGGCAAGTCCTTCAAACTAGTAGACACTGAAGGAGCATGCAGCTCAACAAAGTCCTAAACACGCGTCACTTGACTTGTACTACTTGATGATCGCACCGGACTTGATCCAGAGGATGAAGATATAGTAGCAGGCAGGGTATCCAAACTTGTTTTCTAGCGTGATGGCAGATGCTCTCAAACGCGAGTACAAGAGTACAAACATTGAATGATGACACAAAAAATTACAAAATATGGCTGTCAATGTGTTTCAATTATAGCAGATAACATCAGGATCAAAATAATAATTTAAGATTATTACAAAAACTAAATTTTCGTAATTATTCACTCAAAACAGCTCAAATCACCTTGAAATTGAACCCGAATAAAATATCAAAAAATAAAAAAATGTGCACGTCAACTTCTTATTTGCAAAATCAAAACGCCCTAAAATAGCTACACCTGCTGTCAAAATTACGTCAAGAACAATAAAATAAATTTTAATTTAGCAAAGTTTGATATTTTTTATTTCAGAATTCAGAAAGTTTTTGTTTCTTATTCCTGAAACTAAACTTCGTGAGATTGTTCAAGATAATAAGTAATGTGCACAAAAAATATTGAAGTCTACTGCGGATACCGTATATAAAAGTCGAGCCCTATTACTACTATCAAAGTGCAGCCAAACAATTTTTAAAGAGTTTTAAAGAAAAGAATAGTTATAATTTATGGAAATTCAAGAATGTTACCAGGAAATGTTCGCAAAGATTTAATAACATTAGTACCGCAATCTATTATAAATGATATATCATGCTTTGTATTTTATGATCATCATCCAAGAAGTAATAAAACCATCGATATCTTGGTTTGTACACAACGCCGAGAAGTTATAGAATTTTACAAACGTGAACAAATTTCCGCTATAACATTAAATTCGTCTAAAACCTTATGTGAAGTAAGAAGCTTTAGAAACACAAATTGTGATCTTTTTTATTTAGTTGCAACTGAAGATGAACTTTACATTTTGTCTAGCAAACAAAATCTTAAGGTTGAACATAAAGTAACTGATGTTGAAAACTATGAAATTTATGACTCTGAATGTAGTGGTAAAGCTTCACTAAAATTAATTCGCAAGGATGATGCCGTGCCTTTATTTTTCGATAATAATTTTGAAAATTTAAGTGAACGAAACATCAACTTTATGAAAATACAAGAAAATGACTTAACCCCTATTCTGATACAATTAATGCGGAAATTAACAGAAGCAAAGTACAGTGTCCAGTGTAATGAAAACAAGTACAATGAATTTGTAAATCTCCGTAGATTAGCAACTTTTTATTTATATCAGAAATTCTGTTCAAATTTAGATGATTCTGTTTTCAAAATTGATATTAAGGAAGTAAGTTATTTGATATAAATATTATTACAAGATAGAATATGAATTTTAATGGTTTATTTGATTTATTAAATAGCGTATTCATTGAGATGTATAGAAAGTACATTTTGTTTTGAATTATTTTTCTAGGTAATTACAAATAACAAAATTTAATCAGTCTGTTTAAAATACATACAAAGTTAATTATTTATATTTGTAATTGTGATTCTTGCAGTAAAAAATAATACCCTATTTATATCACAAGCTGAGCACAGAGCACGGCAATCCTGAGTAGGGGGCAAAGAATCATCTGCCGTGCTACCCCATTGTTTTAGCAAATTATATATCTCACTATACACTGTATAGTGGCAGTGTAAGAACATCCACTATCCATATATATCATCCTGTGGGTGTCGTAAGAGGCCACACATTGAAATAGGTGTTGGGCCAGCATCTTTTTGATAAGCACTCGAAACTATGAAAAACTGTAGTTGCCAATCTGCCTGCCAAATGAGGCAAAAACCCCTCTATGTATATGGGAGAGGCGTATGTTTAGCAGTGGACCTTTATAATCTGTAATAGAAATTATATATGCCCTCAATAAGTTTTTTTAGACTTGCAAATTACCTTACAATGTGTTTTCATTTATGATCAAGCATGTGGTAAAGCATTATCCTTTAAAATTTCAATTATACTTTTGGAAACTAAACTCAGTTTGCTTCTGAACTATAAAATTTTTAGCAAAACCAAAAGCTTATTCCCATAACTACCATGGCTCCAAATGCATGGTGCTCTTACACTTAATTTAGAATAAACAATTGCACATAGTAGCAGTTAGCACTAATGATGTGCATGCTTACTACGCCAGATTACATAATTTTTGTTATAAATAAAGGAAAAAATATGGAAAAATGAGTTACTATATTTCATTTGTTTTAAGAAAATAGTGAACCATCAGGGCAATTGCTGGGGTAAAGGTGTATGCACAGTGGAGAATAAATTAAAAAAATAATATTTGAAAGATTAACTTTCATATATAAATTCATTGCACATGGTATTATCTTCTCATATTACATGGTCATAGCATATCTTCTATTGATTCATAAAATGATATAGTGATAAAAAAAATTTAAGTCTTTCGTCTTAAATGTTGAGTTATTGACACAAACATAATTTTTTTATTTGGGCCTACACCAACAGAATTTTATATTTTTTTGATATATTTTCTTTATAGGATAATGGTGACAAATGAGCACACAGTCCACCTGATGGTAAGTGGTTGCTCTGGCCCATAGACATCTACATTTATCCTCAATTACGAATCAAAATGCAGATGCGTTGTCACCCCTGAGGACTAAGATGAAATGCCTCGTTTCCAGTAAAAAGGATCTCCGGTTCTCTACACTCACCATACGAAACACAGCTGCATTAAGTTCCTATTTTACGCTGGTATTTTGTGAGAGCGTGGTCCTTCCCCGGTCGAGCCGACCCATTCATGCTACAACTATACCAGAAATATAGCTGCAGCATGGTTCTACCACATACAAAATAATATATAGTTCATTACTATTGTCTTACTACTGTGTCTGAAAATCGGACAGTGAAAGTGTTAAATATAATGTAGTCAATGCAAGGACACAATCAATTTGTACATATTTGAACTCATCTTTCTAATTCTTTGTAAGTGTAACCTTATTTGTTGAGGGGTGTAGCTAGGTCTGCAGACAATGATGTTATTTTATAGATATTTTCTTAATGCAAATGAACTATTATTAACAGTGTAATGGCAGTGGACGAATATCCACTACTCTATATCATCCCATGAGTGTTCATAGCACACAACAAAAGGAAACTGTAACAGGATATGGGCAGCTTTCCTGATGACAATGACATGGTTGCCAACATGCTTGCTAGGTGTAGCAACTATGGCAAAATCCTCCTATGAAGGTATGACGCAACCAATGGGGGAGGCTTGTGTTCAGCAGTGGCTGTAAAGGTAAATTGAATGGGTACACTAACAATATTTTTGTTGCACTTTTTACTTTTCAGATACCTACATTAATGCTTTTAAAGACATGGACTCCATGGGTCAAAGTCTGCAATAAAAAGATTGTAATAACATTTTATTTGTTAAACAAGGATATTATGTGAGTAGTTTTTTTAACCTAACCTAATAAAAATAAAAAATAAAATAAACTGAACATGAAATTAGCAAGATTTGTAGCAATAATAATTGATTTTTAGTTTTTACAGTATTTTTCAAAGTAATATCTTTTATTTGATTGCAGAATTTATAATTCGTTTATACACTTATTGCATGTTTTAGCACTTTTTATAATTATAACAGCTTAGCAGCTTATTGATCATACAAGTTAGCTATACTATCTCAGGAACAGAGGAAACTTGCATGTCTGATAGTACCATTACATTGTGTAAGATCCCCTACCATACATTGTCTAGGTCGGTTACTTTTTGTACTTTTCAGAAAATTACTCCTCTAAGTTATAATTTAAAAGGAATATTTCTCAGTAATTTTAAATTAAAAAATTTGAAACACAGTAAGCGAGATAACCAACTAAATCAGTTTAGTGGAATGTTCTGTCTGTAGAAGAAGCCGAACTTTTAATGACTGCAAAACAAGTTCATAATGGTGACGTACAGAGGCAGGGGGTGGCGTGATGCACTCGCAACACTGCACATGCTCTTTACTTAAATTTGATTTATTATTAGTAGCCATTATGACCATGCTGACAAGTTTTCTAAGTTTTCTAATCGTCTTGAGACATGATGGAAGAATTTAAGAATAGGCTACTGTCACTCTCCCAAGAGGTGGGTGTATATCTTAAGCTCCTCAAGTATTGAAAGGTTAAATTATATAGCTGTTTAAGGTACTCAGGAGTTGTTGCTGTCATCAGATTACATGTTTGACTTTATCGTTTTCCACTGGATGGATTAACCCCTCCACATCTTTTCAAGTTTGTTCATTGCACCTTTAGACGTCTGGCTTCAGTAGACAATCACCTTATTACATGTTGTTAGTGTTGGTAATAATAGAGCCCTTCATTATCATATTCATCATTACAGCCCTTCACAAGTCCACTGCTGAACATAGGCCTCCCCCAAGGAATGCCACAAAGCACAGTCCTGAGCCACCTGCATCCATCGACTTCCTGCATGTCTGACCAGGTCGTCACTCCATCTAGTAGGGGGACGCTCTACACTTCGCCTACAGGTACGAGGCTCCCACTTGAGAACCTTTTTTCCCCACCGGTTGTCGGTTCTTCGAGCTATATGGCCGGCCCATTGCTACTTCAGGATATTAATTCTTTGGGCTACGTCGGTTACTCGTTCTACTGCGGATATTCTCATTTTTAAGTCTATTACGCAGAGAAACGCCGAGCATAGCCCTCTCCATAGCTCGCTGAGCGACTTTGAGCGACTTTAAGCTTCCTCATACGACCAGCAGTGACCACGTCTCAGATCCGTAAGTCATCATCAGCGGTGCCGTTGAAGGGACTGTAGCACTGCCCATATTTCGACGGAATCATAGGCTTTCTCATAGTCCACATACGCAAGGCAAAGTGGAAGATTGTACTCTTCGGTCTTCTGTACAATTTGCCGAACGGTATGTACGTGCTCTATGATACTAAAGCCCTTCGGAAACCGGCTTGTTCGGGAGGCTGGAAGTCGTTAAGTTTGCGTGCGAGACGATTCGTAATGATTCTCGAAAACAGCACGTAGACGCGGCTCAGAAGGGAAATCGGTCTGTAGTTCTTCAAGAGAGCGTTGTTGCCTTTCTTGAAGAACAAGACCACGGCACTTCTGCTCCACGTCTCCTGAGTAGTCCCACCGTGGAGGACGGAATTAATGAGCTTCTGAAGGACGGTTTTCCACCCGCTTTCAGAATTTTCGCTATAATTCCCTCCTCGCCTGGGGCTTTTCAGTTTTTAAGATGCTAGAGAGCCATTCTAATCTCGGTCAGACTAACGTCCGGGATATCATCGGAATAGTGTCGAATAAGACTTTTTTTTTTATAGGAGAGGGGCCTCCAACGATGATGTGTACAGCTGCCCATAGAACCTCTCAATCTCACTCAAAATCTCAGGTGTACCAGAAACGATGCTGCCACACTCGGTCTTCAACTTTTACAGTTGGCTCTTTCTGGCAGACAGATCTCCGGCAAAGACTTTGGAGCTTTGGTTCCGCTCGATCGCTTCTTCAATACAAGTAGTATTAAAGTTGTGTAAGTCCTGCCGCATGCATTTGGAGATCTGTCTGTTCAGTTGCCTGTATGGTGTCAAATCTGTTGAAGACTGCAGCCCCATTTTCCGTCTAACAGCCATGAGGTTAAAAGTGTGATCGGAGTGTTTTTGCGGCGGGTCTTGCAGAACTTCGCTCCGACCGCATGGACAGTTTCCACGAGCTTCTCATCCATATCGTCCACTGCATTGCAGTCTTCTAGGTACAGAAATCGGCTTTGTAACTCGAGCTGAAAGGTTTCGGGACGGGAGCACGAGGGGGGGGGGGGGGACGTTGACTTCATTAGACGAGACCTCTCGAAAAAAATTAGCCTGGATAGGTCCCACGCTTTGTTACGGCGGTACGCGGGAAAAAATACCGCGAACATTTGTTTTCGGATGAAAAAATTTTTTAAATCGAAGAAAGAAAATGATAATCTGTATGCCCACAGCAGTGAAGAAGCCAGCACGCGTATTCCGAGGGTTCAACGAGGAAATTATCCTTCGTCACTCATGGTTAGGCTTGGAGTCTCATATTCAGGCTTAACTAAGGTGTTTTTCTGTGAAAATGTGTAAAAACCAGTGCCGAGGTGTACCAAAATACCGTCCTAACAAACATAGTGCAACCTCTTTCTCAAACAATGTTCAAAAACAGACATTGGATATTCCAACAGGACATTGGACCAGCTGATAGGGCACGAAGCACGCAAAACTGGTTGACCGCCCGTGGAATTGACTTTATCGGACATGAAAACTGGCCCTCTTCTAGTCTAGATTTAAACCCAATGGATTATAAGATATGGCAACATTTGGAGTAGAAAGTCTGCGCTAAACCTCATCAGAATTTGGAATCTCCTTGAGTATCTTTGGCTAAAGCAGCGGCAGAAATAGATATGAATGTGGTGCGTGCTGCGATTGATGATTGGATTAAGGGCATGTATTCAAAATAGGGGAGAGCATTTTGAATAATCTAAATATAATTGTATTCTAAATTAAATTATCTTTCATTCTATAACTTTTAAACGTGGTAGAGCCATGCTGCAGCTATATTAGTACCTAGTATAGTTGTAGCACGAATGGGTCGGCTCGACCGGGGAAGGACCACGCTCTCACAGAATACCAGCGTAGAATAGCAGCTTAACACTGCTGTGCTTCGTATGGTGAGTGTAGAGAACCGGAGACCTTTTTTACTGGAAATGAGGCATTCCATCTTAGTCCTCACGGGTGACAACGCATCTGCATTTTGATTCGCAAACGAGGATAAATGTAAATGTTTATGGGCCACAGCAACCACTTACCATCAGGTGATCTGTGTGCTCGTTTGTCACCCTATCCTATAAAAAAAAAATATATATATATAATTCCTATTTAATTATCAAAAAGTGTATCATTTATTTTATAAAAAGTTTTTGACAGAACTTATGACCTGACTAAGTATGAAGCAGCATAGATTGTTGAGTGTTCTATCCCTGACTGATTTTTCGCCTCCAAATCCTCCATGGCTTTGTGTATGATGAATCCTTCTGCTCTGCGCAAATTGTTTGGGAATTTATGCATAATTTAAAAATTTTAATTTTGCAGACCATTGGAAGATGTATTTGTTTTACTACACAGCTCAGTCAAAGGTTCAATTATCTATGTAACTAAGTTGTTTGTACAAGTTAACACCAATTGGATAGAAAAGGATAAACAATATATTGAACCCAAAACTGAGGTAGCGGTTGTGACAAGTGTTGATTTAAAAGAACTTCAAAACAATGTAACAAGCAGAATAGAGTTTGATATGGTTTTAGTATTTAAAAAATCTGGAAAAGACTACGTTGTGCCATTTGATACAGTTGTTATATCTGCCACTGATATCATGGGAGAAAATTTCGACATACTCTCTAGCTCTAATATAGGTAGGCTACTTTTAATATTTTAGTAATTTAATACAAATGTCTATACAGGATTATTTTGCAATAACCGATAAATATAGGCAAATGGTGAAGAAAACTATTTAAAAAAAATCTCAAACATTCTGTCCTTTTTATCTTTTAAATGCAAAATGCGTGGTAATGCATTATTTTAACTAATTTTACTGCGCAAACACACATTCTTAAGGGTCAATCGGTACGCAAAAACGTTGTTACGGCCCACAGCTGCCCATGCAACGGTCCCCTTGGCTAGGGCCCATAGTAGCCTCCTCGACGGGCAGCCGAGGGTTCGAGCCCAAATGGCCTTATGGAAAATGACCTATCATAATACAAATAAGGAGAAGGCTAGGAAAATAAATGGTACGTACCTGGATCCGAATCTAAGACCGCCCCAAGGCTCGGTCAGGCCGTAGGTAGAGTAGATGCATGTAAAGTAGTGTTTAGTGGTGTGTATATGTGGGTGACCTGGCCCAGCTGAGGTGACCTGGCAGCGCGACGGTTTCCATGCTGCATCACTCCAGCAGGCGTCCAGCATGGACAGTTTCTTTCTTCATTGTCACTATTTCAGTCTATTAACTTTATTGTACATTTAACTAACTTCAACTCGCCTAATTCCACATTCATCGTAGAATCGAACACGTGATACCCGACACAGTAACAGACAGCAGTTCAAAGTTCGACATTCAATGTCCCGGATTCATTTATCACCAAATTACAAATAGGAAACTAACGCGATCTCTTCATGAGTCACACGGTTCAGCGTTAAATACAACTAAGTTCCTTTGTTCGATACTAAACACCACGCCGCAATAAGAATTCAAAATCAACCTAGCTGACACGTAAGCTAGCTACCGAGTCAACACACAAAAGGCTCTTAACGCGACGGTATAATTAGACGATGATTTCCAAACAATCAACCGGGAGACGCCTTTAATCAGTCAAATACAATACAAGCCTCTTGTCACGAACTTAAAGCCTAGAAAACCTAAACCGAGGCGGTTTTCACAAAACCACAATTACGTAGCGAAGTAACACGTACTAATTCTAAAAATCTAGACCATAAACCGGTCGCGTGAAACTTCGGCAGCGGCCACCGAGACACCCTAATTAACTGCACCGCTGCCAGCGAGCTACTGTCTCTCTTAGCCCAGCGCCGGAATCACCGGAGCCAGCATACCACCGCCCCCGCACCGCGACTCGCGTGACACCTAACACCATCGGGCTATTCACTCAGTCGAACGTGATTGGATGGCGTCTCATATTACCATTTTTGGGCCTAAACAAACGTTGTTGCCCATAAATTACATACAATTTGGGATAATTTCAAATAAAATTATATTATTAAAATTTATTATAGCCTTATTGACTCGTATTTTCAAAAACTGCAATATCATTATTTAAATATATTTGAACTTAATCTGTATCCGTAAAAAATAGTTTTATTTAATGTGTAGTGTTCGCGTAAATATAAGAATACATCATTTGAACTTAAGTTTAAAATTTGGCCACTCTGAAAAATAACCCTGTATTTATTATCCAGTCTTAACTTTTTTTTGCTGTTGTTGCATAAATAACAGTAGTTTGACTTACGTCACCAAGCCCATGATTTTAATCATACTATAATAGATTGATGCCCAAATATTTGAGTATTGCTGTTCAATTTTAAGCTACCCTTAAGTCTCGTGCTGTCTCTATCTCTTTAAATCGAAGTGACTGTGACACAACGAGACTTAACAATATCTTAAAATTGAGAAGCGTTTGAGTATTTAGCCATAATAATAATATTAATAGTAGTAGTGCTTTAAAATTTCAGACGAGCAACATACAGTTTTGGCTGTTCTTGCAACAAGCATAAAGACAGAGCTTTGTCTTAGACATATTAGAAGTGAAGATGATTCGAGTATTACAGAAGTTGATATATTTTGCAAGCATCTAAAAATGGACGAATTTTTAAACGTAAAGAATGTCGTCATTCACAAAACATCACCATACCATATTCTATATGGCGTAATGGTGATATTCAAAAAGGATGAATCAGAAACAGATGATAAATTTACAGTTGAAGTACATTCAAGGTAAAATCAAAAATCTGTATTAAGTGTAGGTATCATCTTCTGGGCTGCCTTGCTTGTAAAGTGGTCATAAGCTTGACTGCTTATAACGAGTGTCCGGGTTTGAATCCCCTGGGTCGGCTCAAAATCAGTTTTTGGATTTTTCAAGTCAAGTAATCTTAAAGGTCAGGAAGTTGACGTTGTTTCATCCCCCTGCGTCTAAAAGCACGTAAATCCGTTGTTCGTGCACTAGATTTCTCCGCTCGTGTCGGATTGTCGATTCTTTGTTTGAAGTGAGGGAATACAGATTGCACCCATGTTTGCACACACACTTGTGCACTATAATCCTGTCCTGCACAGATGGCTAGGCTCACTTGAGAACTATGTGGTAGAGCCATGCTGCAGCTATATTACTGGTATAGTTGTAGCAAGAATGGGCCGGCTCGACCGGGGAAGGACCACACTCTTTCAGAATATCAGCGTAAAATAGCAGCTTAACGCTGCTGTGTTTCTTATGATCAGTGGAGAGAACCGGATAACATTTTGACTGGAGATGTGGCATTTCATCTTAGTCCTCACGGCTGACAGCGCATCTGAATTATGATTCTTTATTGAGGATAGATGTAGATGTATATAGGTCACAGCAACCACTTACCATCAGGTGGTCTGTGTGCTCGTTTGTCACCCTAACCCATAAATAAAGCATTCTCATAATACCACCTTAAATCGATTTAGTTAAACGAAAATACCATTTGCTTATCAACATCACTTGTGTTCCCGTTTATCACTTAATGGCTGACACAAACCTAAGAAGTTGGAGCTCGCAATTATTACTGCCCGTTTATGTTCAATTATTCAATTACTTAATTTCGTTTTATTTTGAATTACAGATGTCCGTCGCAAGTGCTGGCCTTGGTTCACTACATCAATGATGCCGTGCCATTCAAAATTATAGTAACTACACCAAATTACAAAATAACTGCCAATACAGACCAGTTAGCTCGTTATAATGAGGAAATATCGCCTATGAATAATAATGGCGTGAGCTATTTGGAATATGCGTCATCTGTTTTGAATCAGACTTCTATGTTACTGGAGTATCTCGATAATTGTATGATAATAATGAACGACAGTAAAGATCAAGTGGTGCGAAGTAAGGTCGGGAGTGAAATAGATGTCTTTGCTTGTGGTTTAGAGAAATTTCTTGAGTTTAGGGATAAACTCTTGAATGAAGTGTCTTCTGGCATACAAAATTGCTTACGTGTCAAAAATCACATGGCGGTGAAGGAGGAATTTGATGATATGATTGTAGATGAATAAATTTCATAGTACGCGAGCAACCGGGATCGATCCTCGCTGGCACCAGTGGTATTGTTAATTGCAATTTTCTACCACTTGCCCAGCGTTGAAGGAACACATCGCAAAATAAACATTAAACTTTTATTGGAAACAAGCATTCTATCTGACAACGCATATGCATTTTGATTCTTAATCGAGTATAGATGTAGATGTCTATGGGCCACAGCATACACCTAGTACCATCAGGTGGACAGTGTGCTCGTTTGTCACAATTGTTCTATAAAAAATGTGGAGTCCGCCAACACGCATTAGATCAGCATGGCAGAAAAATTACTTCATAACCCTCTTCAAAAATTAAGAGGAGGCATGTTCTCAACAGTGGAACTTGTATAGATTAATTTTACTTTTAATTTACTATTATAATAAGGCTGTGATCTCTTTTTGTTATAAATGTTGCCATTTATATAATTTTGAAAGTGTTTTATATGTTTAAGAATAATAAACCAGTATTTGGGAATGACAACAAATTTTATTTTGTAGAAAATAATTTATCTTAATAATATAATTCAAATCGATTTAACATAATTAAAAGGAATATTTCTTTATTTCATATTATTTACAAATCTATATGGATTTTTGATATAAACTACAAGAACACTAACATAATTTAATAATAATAGTTTCAAATATTTCCTTTTAGTCATACGAAGTTGCTTTTACCTATTACGTAATTACTTAAAGTATACATAATAGCTTGCTTCCGTATACTGTAAGCATAATTAGTATCGTGTTATACAAAAACGTAATTCAACTAATAAATAATCAGGATTACATATTGCGCACATAATATGCGCTTACACACGCACACTCATTCGCTTAACACCTAATATATACATATGAAGTATTAATAAATTACATAAACAGTCTTAACAAAATCATTCTTTAAATAACTTAGCAGTTGAGCGTTTATAAAATTGAGCATTTTATTTTTCTTAACTCTAAGAAATAAATTAATGTTATATAATATTATATTCAATTAAATTAAAAAAAAAAACATTTTCTTAGTAATAGCACCATCATATCAGCTAAATTATCTATTTAAGTTGCGGTATATAAATTTACAAAATTTTCAACACTAAATCAGCGGATATTGAATTTTAACAGGCTTATAATTATTGTTGGCTGTGTCAAACAATATATTCTATAAGTAATATAAACAAAATGTGTTAAAACTAACCCACAACCATAACTATTATTTTTAATGTTGAATCCAAATAATCGTTAGGTAAAAATAATGTCTTAAGTGTTTTTATCCTGTTCGCGACTCCATCCATGAAACCCTACTAAGATTATAGTGAAATAGCAATTTAAAATTTGTCGTGTAGTGGCGTATGAGAATTTACTACCCTGTATCATTCCGTGGATTTCTTAAGAAGCGACACAGGGAAAATAAAAATAGTGATAGCCAGCAGTGTCTACCTAATTACAACCGAGTGTTGTGGAACACTCAGTTGGAACGAAGTTCCTTTCGTAGTAAACTTAAATTGATAAAAGTATTGTATTATTGATTAACAAATACAAATAAATAAATTACTAGCGTCTCTTAAAATAAAGCGTGATTTAAAATAAAATAATATTTCTTTCATGGTAAGATAAGAAAAAGTGCGAGGGAGATGGATATTATTCCATCTCGCTTGGTCATTGCAGTCAAGGCCGTCTACACTACGTCAGAAGGGGTAGTGACGGAAAAATCTTACACTTTTTCTCACCTAGCCCCTATCCCCCAAATTCGCACCGTCCGATAAGGAACTACTTTTGACAGTGGTAGAGCCAAGCGGTAGCTTTTGCTGTCGCACGGATGGGCCAGCTCGAACCGGGGTGGTACCACGACCTCACAGAATACCAGCGTGAAGTAGAGGTTTACCTCTGCGTTGCGTTTGGTGAGTGCAGGTGGCCGGAGGCCCAATTCCCCCCCCCCCATCAACATGGTAGTGGAATTAAATACAAGACTACCCCAGGAGGGTACCAGCAACCCTGGAGAATCCCTCGCTGAGCATCCACGAACAAACTACTTCACTCCTGAGCGTGGGTGCTCAGGCTGCCCCGCGTATTCTGGGGGGGGCAAAATTCCGCTCGTGACTAATGCTGCTCGGGGCAAGCGGAGCAATACAACCAAGGCGACCCCTGTCACGCTATCCGTGAATTTTTGCAACATCAGGGGACTTCATTCCAACCTTAACGCTGTCCATTACCATCTAGAGACGGCGAAGCCGGCCTTGCTCTTTTTAACCGAGACTCAGGTGTCCTCTCCGGCTGATACTTCATATCTCTCCTACCCGGGGTACAAATTGGAACACTCCTTTGTGCCCCGGGCTGGAGTTTGTGTATACGTCAGAGAGGACATCTGTTTTCGACGCCTCGGCAGCCTTGAAGGTACGGACCTGTCCATCCTATGGCTGCGCGTAGACAGCGACGACCATCCCCGCGTCTACGGGTGCCTCTATAGGTCCCATAGCGGTAATGCCGACACAGACCGACTCATCGACCACGTCCAAATGGCTGCAGACTCCGTGCTACAACAGGTCCCATCCGCAGAGATCGTGATACTCGGTGATTTCAACGCCCACCACGCTGAATGGCTTGGTTCTCGTTCAACCGATCATGCGGGTAGATCTGTCTACGACTTTGCTTTGGCATATGGTCTAACACAACTGGTTACTTCGCCTACGCGGATCCCAGATGTGGAAGACCATGTACCTTCCCTGTTGGACCTTCTGCTGACCTCTCATCCGGACGGATATCAGGTCTCCGTCGATGCCCCTCTGGGCTCTTCGGACCATTGTCTGATCCGGAGCACAGTGCCACTCACGCTCCAATCGCAGTTGCGATCTACAGCTTGCCGCCGTGTTTGGCACTATAGGTCAGCTGATTGGGACGGGATGCGGTCTTTTTTTGCATCCTACCCTTGGGGGCGGGTTTGCTTCTCGCCGGAAGATCCCAGCGTTGTTGCCGATTCTGTTGCTGATGTGGTACTTCAGGGTATGGAACTTTTTATTCCATCCTCTGTGGTGCCCATCGGAGGCAGATCCCAGCCATGGTTTGGTCGCTCCTGTAAAATAGCATCACGCTATAAGCAGGAGTGCTACCGGGCCTGGGCTGACGCATCAACGTCTCGGGATTTAAACACCAGCGCACTTAAAAAGAAGTATAATTCCGCCTCCAGGTCCTTCAAAAGCGTCATTGCCAAGGCAAGGTCTGAGCACATCGGCAGAATTGGCGAGAAGCTAGTTCGCCTTCCTTCGGGAACCCGTGCATTCTGGTCTCTCGCCAAGGCTGTCCAAGGGAACTTCTGTCAGCCATCCCTCCCATCTCTGCACAGAGAGGACGACTCACTGGCCCATGCCGCAAAAGAGAAAGCCGATCTGTTGTGCTCTCTTTTTGCGTCCAACTCGACTCTAGATGACGGGGGGAACACACCGCCGACCATCCCGCGATGTGAGTGCTCCATGCCGGATGTGCGATTTACACAGCGCTCGGTTCGCAAAGCACTCTTCTCCCTGGACGTCAGCAAGTCGAGTGGGCCCGATGGAGTCCCTCCCATTGTGCTGAAGACGTGTGCTCCGGAGTTGGCACCGGTTTTAACGCGTCTTTTCCGGTACTCCTACTCCCAAGGCGTAGTCCCGAATTCATGGAAGACAGCTTTGGTCCACCCGATCCCTAAAAAAGGCGACCGCTCAGACCCGTCCAACTACAGGCCTATCGCCATCACCTCCTTGTTCTCCAAAATAATGGAATCCATTATAAACTGCCAGCTCATGAGGTACCTTGAGGATCACCAGCTGATCAGTGACCGTCAGTACGGTTTTCGTCGGGGTCGATCAGCAGGTGATCTTTTAGTTTACTTAACTCATAGATGGGCGGAGGCAGTAGAGTCCAAGGGGGAGGCATTGGCCGTTAGTTTGGACATAGCGAAGGCCTTCGATCGGGTCTGGCACAAGGCGCTTCTTTCGAAGCTTCCTTCCTATGGGCTTCCCGAGAAATTGTGCAAATGGATCACCAGTTTCCTTGCTGATCGGAGCATCAAGGTCGTAGTAGACGGTGCATGCTCTGATTACAAGCCTATCAACGCTGGTGTTCCACAAGGCTGCGTGCTATCACCAACGCTGTTTCTCCTGCATATCAATGATATGCTGCTAACTGGTAGCATTCATTGCTATGCAGACGACAGCACTGGGGATGCCTTATATACCGGCCGTGCCAATATTTCTCGGGAAAACGTCGCCGAGTACCGGGACAAACTTGTGTCTGAAGTCGAGTCTTTGCTTAACAAAGTCTCGGATTGGGGCCGACTAAATCTAGTCCAGTTCAATCCCCAGAAGACACAAGTTTGCGCGTTTACCGCTAAAAAGAACCCCTTTGTCGTATCTCCTCAGTTTCAAGGCACTCCCCTTGCTGCCTCAGCCAGTATCGGAATCCTTGGCGTCGACATATCGAATAGCGTGCAGTTTCGTGGTCACTTGGAAGGGAAGGCCAAATTGGCCTCTAAAAAGCTTGGCGTGCTCAGCAGAGCGAGACAGTATTTCATGCCGGCACATCGCTTGCAACTTTACAAAGCGCAAGTTCGGCCCCACATGGAATACTGTTCTCATCTCTGGGCCGGGGCACCCCAGTGCCAGCTCCTTCCACTTGACCGCATCCAGCGCAGAGCGATTCGAATCGTCGACGACCGAGTTCTTTCCGATCGGCTCGATACACTGGCACTGCGTAGAGATGTTGCATCTCTTTGCGTATTTTATCGCATCTATCACGGGGAGTGCTCTGAGGAATTGTTCGGACTAATTCCAGCCGCTCAATTTCACCATCGCACGTCGCGACAAAACTCGCGTTACCATCCATACCATCTGGATGATTGGCGGTCCACCACTGTGCGATTTAGAAGAAGTTTTCTCCCTCGCACAACTTCTTTGTGGAATCAATTACCACCAGCGAATTTTCCGAACCGATACGACTTAGGAACCTTC